ATTTTTTTTATTTTAAATTCAGCAAGCATTGTGTGGAACATACATTCACATCCCAATCCCTGTCCCCCACCTTATCCTGATGTGCGCCCCTCCCCTATGACAATCCCATCCCTGACCCCCTTCCATTTCCGACACCCACTCCTCTCCTCAGACTTGTCCCCTACCTGATCCTATCCCACTGCGGACTCAGGCCCCTCCTGGAGGCAAACCACCACCCTGGCCTTGACCAGACATCTAACCCTCACCCTATCTAGTGATTGAAACACCACTTTTTGATGTGTCATGGTCCTATGTTAATTAAGTACAAAAATCCTGGCCTTTAAAAAATCCAAAATAGAAATCATTCATGTCTTGAGCCATACCCAGAGGATTACATGACACAGTAAACTATCTAATCAAACAGGATTGTACTTGTTTGAAGAGTTCTGACTAGATCCCTCCCCCACTTAAAACACTTCCAAATTACTTTTTTGTTGTTTGACTTCTATTTTTTATCCTAACAGTGAGGCTGAGCAACTTTTCATATGTTTACTAGTCATTTTGCTGCATTCCTCTCATCGTCTCTCCAGAGTCAGACCAACTAGGGCTTGAGCCCCTCACTTCGTCCTCATCAGTCGCCTGGAGAGCCCCGAGCAGGACAGGCTGAGGAACCTCCATCCTGGTCCCTGGAAGAGCATCTTAGACAGTTCTCCAGAGAGGATGGTGACTCTCCCAGTGGTGTCTCGTGGCCACTAACCCATCCCTGACAATCATTCCAGCTCTGACACCCTTCCCTGGGACTCCCCACCCCTCATACTTACTCCATTCCTAAGCCTCACTCCATACCTGGTCCCACCCGCTCTTGAATCTCCCTGTCCCCAACCCCTCACTGCATCCCTGAATCTCACTCACCCAGCCTCTCCCTATGTGTGCACCGCTCCCTATTCCTGACAGTCATCCTTCTCTGACCTTCCACCTTATCTAAGCAGCCACACCCTCCCTGCCCACTCAATTCCTGATCCCAATCTCAACCTTGATCAAAATCCCATCTCTGAGGTTCACCCCATTTCCTACCTCAAGCCATCCCTGAGATTTCCACATCTCACATCGACCAACACATTCTGTTTCGCTTAGGTTGGTTTGAGTTCAGTTTCCACCAATTGCTATCAAAGAACCTTGATGTCCTCAGTACTCACTTGGAACATTTTCAGAGAGAAAAATCTAGTAAAGATCAACCACAAAGGCAAACTTGACGAGTGAAATTGGTTGCCGAGGACAGAGGAAGGATGAAGCGGGAGAGACAGGTAAGAGGTGCTCTGAGGAGATGGTGCGCAAAACAGCTGGGGTCTTTTCAGCACCCATTTAATCACTCAGTAAGTATTCACTGAGCATTGAATAGGCTCCAGGCAGCATGACACACACAGAGTGAAAAAAACAGACATGGTTTCTGCCTTCAAGGAGGGAAAGCAAACAGAGAAATAACTACAAGTAAGCGTGAGCAGTTGGGGGAGCCAGGCAAGGTGTAACCCAGAAGATGACGGTTCAGTTAAGGTGAAGCTGAGATTCTCAGGAGGAACATTTCCTTTTACTTATGGACAAGGAGATCCTCTGCAGCCTGGGGCCAGAGGAGAAACAGGAATTTCTGTACCTCAAGGGACAGTTCTAGCAGGAATTAAAGCTGCAGGGAACACCGCCCATCCACCGAGAGAGTCACCTTTTGTGGGGGTGCTGCCCTCATTCTACTGCAGGAAAAAACCAACAGCACCACACACGCATTTTACTCCATTTCACACCAGATCCTTCCACGGGGGCCAGCATGGAGCAGAACTTTGTTAGAAATATCTGACTATCCCACCAGCTGATGACCGTGTCTGAGTTAGTGGGGTCGCTGATACTATATGTCAGACTGAAAGCTGCAGGAGGGCAAGGGCTCAAAGCTGCTAATCTTGTTCCACGCATGGCTCAGCATGGCTCTATATGCAAATGGTGCCAACACATCAGTCTGTGACATTGGTTGGGGCTAAAGGGGTCTCTCATGCAGTAGGTCTGGTTCCCAATCCTCTTCCCCTTTGTGCACCCACCACACCCAAGGGGAGAATGTGCTTTCACTGCCATCACAGGCCACTGCAAGCTTTGATATTCAGACAACACCTGCCTCAATGTCCCCAGAAGACTCTGCAACATACTTGAGATAGGAAAACAGTCCCCTGAGTTCAGATTAGGGGACTCAAAGCTACCAAACAGCCTGGCTGGAACATGCTCAGCATAGAGGAGGTGTTCCTGAGAGGGCTGGCAAGAGCGCTCAGCCTGCAGAAGAGAGCAGCTGCAGCCCCGTTCTCTGATCTAATGTCAGACTGGGCTTGGGCATGAACATGTTGATGACCAGTTAGCAGGACCATGATGCAAGCATGAAGCAGAAACGATGGTGCTGTCTTTTCATGGAGTGTGGAGGCCGGGCCTTTATGGCATCTCAGCAGTTCCCCAGAGGGTTAGCAGGCCTGAGGACACCAAAGCCCAACTTCCCCATGTTCCACAGCCTTCCTCCCAAGCCCAGACAGCGTCTGTGCACAGCCAGACGACCCCCCAACCTTGGGGTCACAGTTATTCTTTCCTCACAAAGATGAGATACTCTTTCACTGAAGGTTTTCAGAGATTCGAAGGGCCATTGACAGAAGAAGAAGTGTAAGAGGTAATTCCATGATGTGCCAAGAACTCCTTGCTGACAAGGCCACGGGCCACCAGGATCTTGAGGAGTCCATGGCGAAAATTTTGGCCAATGAAGGCATAGATGAGGGGGTTGAGGCAGCTGTGGAGGAAGCCCAGAATCTCGGTGGCATCCAGGGCCTTGTTGATGTCATTGCGGCGCTCACAGGTCTCCTTGATTATCTGGGTCCTCATGAGGGTGTCTGCGACCAGCACCAGGTTGTAGGGCAGCCAGCAGAGCAGGAAGATGAGCACGACAGCAAAGATGACCCGCATGGCCCGGTGCTTCTGCCCCGTGTGGGCCTTAAACAGAGTGCGCAGGGTGAATCCGTAGCAGAACAGCATGACCAGCAGCGGCAGGACGAAGCCAAAAGTGTGGGGCAGGATCCGCAGCACCATCCGCCATTTTGCTGTGTTACTACCCAACACCTCATAGCAGACTAGTCTGGAATCATACAAAGGAAAGGCCTGGCGGAAGAGGAAGAGGGGCAGTGACAGAATCACAGACAGTGACCAGATGCCCAGACATATGAACTTGACCAAATGGCGCTTCTGGGTCAGTGTGCGTGTGGCATGGACAATGGCCAGGTAGCGGTCCACACTGATGCAGGCCAGCAGCAGGATACCACTGTAGAAGTTGACTTCCTTCAAGAGCGAGACCACCTTGCACAGGGGTGTGCCAAAAATCCAGCCCTTTGCCTTGGAGGTGGCCCAGATGGGCAAGGTCAGGGCAAAGAGCAGGTCAGCAATGGCCAGGTTCAGCAGGTAGACATCAGTGACAGAGCGGCTGACCTTGTTATACAGGATGACCAGCATCACCAGAGAGTTTCCCAGCACACTCAGCAGGAACACCAGGGCATAGATGACAACCACAATGTACTTGTTGAGTGTCTCAATGTCTCTCCTGCAGGGCCTGACATCTTCTTCTACAGGTGGCAAGCCAGTGAAATTTAGAAAATCATAATTAGACCCGAACCACCAATTCGATGTGTCATCCGTGGTGCTGGCCATGGTTTGATCTAGTTGAAAGTTAGAAGGAAGGAAATGTTATTTAGTAACTCATATTCGAGGCACTCAAATCACAGATGTGAGAACAGTTACTGGGACATCGTTTGCTTGGCAACCCAAGATCTCCCCCTTAGCCTCCAACTTGCACTTCTTTAGAGGTAGCTTCCTCGTGTTACCAACATTCCATAAACCCAAGGCCCGGCTGAGTACAGAATAAGATGGAATGGAGGAAAAAAACCTCTGCTCTTGGTTGACCCCAAAACTGTCTCAACTCTACCTGCAACTCTGCCTGTGTCCCCCTCTTTAGGCTTCTCCATCCTCTGCCATGTCTGCCATCAGATGGGAAGACCAGGTTGGTCTTGTGCATTCAGGGCAGGGCCAACAATGAGCCAAATGGAGGAGGCAAACCTGCTCCCAGGTGTCCCTTTCTAGCTTATTTCCCCTCCTATTCTCTCTGATTCATATTTACCCTTCTTGAAATCTACAGAGGGAAGGAGATGATAACAACAAATTGGCCCACCACCACTGGCAACCAGGCTGGTGACCACTGAGGAGCCGGTGCCAGATGTCCCGGGGTCCTGAGACGACAGCGTAAAAAGAAACAAGAAAACAACAACAAATTGCATTAAGCTGGATTTTAAGCCCTGTCTTTAACTGAGCAATAAGCATCTTAGTTCTCTGTCTAAAGGAATTTTAAGCATTTGAGAGGACAAAGTCTCCATCCCTATCACTGAAATCCCCTCCTAAATATCCCCAGAATACTTTGGCAGTTTTCAATTTTTTTTTTACTGTGAAACACTTTGTTGGAACAAAATCTTCCCAGGACCGAATATGCAAAGCCTATCAGAACTGAGCTGCTTTGGGGTGGGGTATGGCTCTGCCCAGACAGCCCCTGAGGAGCCCTCCCACAAACCCCCAGGGCTCCCAGGAGAACAGTATGAAAACCTCTGCAAAGTTACCCACTTTGGAAATAAGGATACCTCCCATCCAGTGCTCATTCTATCCTGATTCCACCATTAATGAGCTGTGTGACCCTGAGTGGGTCCTTTTACCTTTATAGATTTTTTTTCTCATCTGCACATTGAGAAAGACTGAGTCGATAACTTCCAATTTTCTTCCAGGTCCCAGGTTCTCTACCTGCCAGTATCTCTATTTTCATAGACCGAGTCTTAGAGCAAAGCAATAAACACCAAGTTGGGGGATTGTAAACCTCTGCCCCACACAAGGGAGAGGTAGGAAAGGAGGGGATGAGGAGGCTGTGACCTCCTGTCACCAGCTACAGCATGTATGAGGTCAGAGTCGAATTCATGGTCAAAAGGGCTTAGAGGCAGGAAGCCAGTTTGGAGAAATCCTCAGGACCCAGAGAAATAAATGCATCTTCTAAAATTAGTGGAACCAAGCCTCCCTGACCCAAAGAAAGTCTTGAGAAACAGAGGTGGCTTCCTACCTGAGGCACCAGCCAGGTATGTCCAACTGCAGAAGCCAGCAGCTCAGAGACCAGAGTGGCTTAACTGTTAGAGGGAATCTGATGAACAAAGGCAAATAGGGGAACCACATCAGACCACGCCTCCCTACTAAGCCCCACCCCATGTCTGTGTTTGGGGAAAACAGTTTCAGTCAAGGGATCACAGGTGTCAGAGACTCTTGGGGTCCACGTGTCCCAGCAGAAGTACCAGGCCTGAAGCTGGGGTTAAGGATCTGTAATCTGGATTCTCTACTGTATGGATGATCATTTTTATTCTCATACTTTTCTTTAATTTATTTCCATTTGTTTATCCCTAAATTCCCTAGTAGATCACCTGTGAAAGCTTCATCTTTCCTGATTGAGAATAAAGGGGAAAGGATTTGACTTTTACAGTAAAGATTTCAGAAAGAGTCCACTGTAAGAGCGACTTGAGGGAGTCCGCTGTAGGAAGGACTTGGGGGCAAGCTGGTGGGAAGGAGGCGAAGGACTGCACTTAGCTATGTTTGGACAGCAAACACACGATTTTTATTTATATCATAGGCTTCTTTGGGGTGGCCTGGTGGAAACTGGGAGGAAAGACTAACTTCCCTGTCAGCCACTCTATTGCACAACCACTGGCAGTGATCTGCTGTTGAGAATGTCTCTGAGACGGGGGCAGGGCCCCTCCCAGAGTCTGCCTGCACAGCAGGGAGACCGCTAGAGCTGTGCAATCAGCAAATGGAATAGTTGGAGTCAATGCCATTGCTGCTCCCCTCTTGGTCATGAAGGACAGTTTTATTGTGGCTGTCCCCTGGCTTTACTCCTCTGGCACTTAAGCCACTCCCCATTATAACATGAACTCATGTACTGCCAAGTCAGCCTTCCCCCTACACTGTGAGCTGCAAGAGAGCAGGACCCTCCGAGTCATGTCTGTATCCTCTGCCTGGGTGTATTGTGAGTGCTCTGTCAACGGTGTGCAATGCGTGATGTCAGACATGTCTCACACGATCCATGGGATGGGTCATCACCACGGTTCACAGTATCTATGGCTTTTGGCCACACACTCATACCAAAGGCATGTCTGAAAGCCTCACTTCCATACAGCCAGACTGGTCTGCCTGGCTTGTTCTTTCCAACCATCCTCTAGTGTCTGAAGTTAGTGCCAATCCGTGCAAGTGTAAATCCTGCCCCTACGTAAATGTCAAATTTATCACAGCACTGGTGCCTACAGCTCAGCACTGGCAAGCCTATTTTCTAAGCTAAGTGGTGCTTTGCTCCTGGCTTCTCTTATCATTTGTAAAGAGTCACAAGAAGTTGAAGGAGACAGTTACCCTGGGGCTACGCATGCTTTGCTATAACCGATATTGGATTTTGTGATCTGATGCCTAGACTACAGAGGACTTGAAGATGGGGTGGTGACATTACCCCCACTAATTATCTAGAGAAAAGGCAGCTCCTAGGGCAGAAAATAGTGATTGGTGGCACAGGAGAAGAGAGGCTGTTTGGGGGCCAAATACCTGCATGCACTCAAGAGCAAGCTGGGGGGGGGGGGGAGTTCTGCCACAAGAGGGCAGCAGCCCCCGTGTGTGACCCACTGAGAAAGACCAGGACTGAGAGCAGTCAGAGCTAATAAGAACCCAGTTTTACGATCTTCTTTGTGTATAATTCCCCTCTGCTTCTCCTGAGCCCTCAGTCACGTTGGCTCACAATTTCAGTCTATTTCAATGAATCACTGAGGGCTCAGGGAAGGGTCTGGTCCACCCTTGAGCCCAGGAGTAAAGGGGAAGCAGCCCCCCTGGGTGAGCATGATGGTGGCAACAGTGCCTGCTGAGGTCTCCAAGGGCAGCTGGATCTGGAGGACAAGCGTGGAAAAGAGTCTTTCACTTAGTGGGAGGAAACAGCCTTTCTCTGGAGGAGGGGGAAAGGCACATGGAGATGAGCTTGGGAGAAGATTTTACCCACTTGAAAAGGTTCTGGCAAGGCGGCCCCCCTACGTGTCTTCTGTAGCTCACCCCCTACTTATAACTGCCCCCTCTTAACCTGATCCATGATGTTCCTAATGGAGAAGCGTTTTTCCACTCTCTGCAGAACACCCAGTGCCACAAAGACTGTTGTAACAGATGCAACCTAAATGCCAGTCGACTGGCAAAATGTGGGGTCTCTGTGGGGTGATACTGTTCTCACCACTCTATTAAATATGACGGCTTCCATGCAAGACGTGTGAGCAGCACAATGTGGCTGTAAGTATATCCACTTTGTCCCTGTGTCAGCTGATGCCAACATAAGCATCTCTTTTTTTTATTTTTTTTTGACCAGTAAGGGGATCGTAACCCCTGGCTCGGTGTTGTCCACACCATGCTCAGCCAGTGAGCGCACCAGCCATCCCTATATAGGATCCGAACCCACAGCCTTGGCGCTACCAGAGCCATACTCTCCCGAGTGAGCCACGGGGCCGGCCCAAGCATAAGCATCTCTTCACATTCCTTAGAAGAATCCACTCCGATCTGGGGATCAAAGCAGAAGAAAAGGAGGTGGAGGAAGGGTTTCTCTCCCCTGCCTGGTGATCATCCCCATTGTCACACTGACAGGTTCAGGGGTAAGTATGTGACCCAAGATGAGCCAGTCAGGGCAAAGGTCAGATGTTTGTTCAATGACTGGAAAAGCAAGTATGTGGTCCTGGTGCAGCTGGAAGCGCTATTGCTACCATAAATGGCAAAACCAGTCCAAGAACAAAAACTAACACAGGAGGGCCGGCCCGTGGCTCACTCGGGAGAGTGTGGTGCTAATAACACCAAGGCCATGGGTTCGGATCCCTATATAGGGATGGCCAGTTCACTCACCCAAGTCAAGGGTTAAGATCCCCTTACTGGTCATCTTTAAAAAGAAAAGAAAAGAAAAACCAACACAGGGAGGAAAGCAGAGCTGGGAGAATCACAAAGACAGAGCCTTCCCAAGTGATTCAGAAATCCTCACGAAGGACCCAGAAATCCCACTTTGGAACCAGACAGCCCATGATGCCAACACTGGCTCTACTTTACTGGTTTGTGGTCTTGGACAAATTTCTCGACATGTATCAAATGTCACCATCCATAGCAATGAAGACAATAACACCTGCCTCCCGAGCTGTTGTGATGATGAAATGAGATGAGAGCTCGGGCTCCAGAACCGAAGCAGCTGCATGCAAATCCCAGCTCTGCCCCTGGCTAGGGGTGTGCCCTGAGGCAGTGTAGACACTGGTTCCATGCCTCAGTTTTCTCACCTGTAAAGGGAGGATAAAAGTAGGATCTAGTGCATAGGATTGCTGTGAGGGTCAGCGAGTTAATACATTTAAAGTGCCTCACACAGCATCTGACAGGTAATAAGTGTTCAGTTACTTCAGCTGCCTTTAAACTTGACCCCCAAAATATGTATCAAATGCACTAAAAATGCAGCCCCTTTGACCCTACAGTCCCCCTTGATGTGAGGAAAGGAAGAAGGGGATGGGGGAGGAAGAAAGGAAGGATAAAGTTTATCACAGTGTTTATAATAATAAAACTTGGTGTAGTGGATTGAATTATGT